AATGGACGAATCTTTATTATAAAGGCATATCTAATTAGTTTTAATGGACACGATGAGATGCTCTTTCAAATTTATCATACGCTTGTGAGATTTCATTATGATCTTTATTGATTAATATCATTAAAATCTATTTTCGATATTCTGAGAATTTGAAGAACATTCAGTAATCACTTAGTTCACAGGGTTTCGTGCTCAATCGTGTTTATACCATTAAAGATAAGCACATCTGCCTTTTTCTCAAATAAGGACACATCTTAGCGTTTGATCTTAAGTACTTACAATATTATTAATGTGTCAAGATGGAGAATTGAACGTAGGTAAATGTCAAGTGGCGAACACGAAGGAGATCGAATAAAATACATTTTACAAGGAAAAGGGAAATTCATAAAAGTTACCGCTGAGCCTATGACGTCAGATGTCAGGTTCGAAGAGGAAAATTGATGAATTACTGTAGCTTTCTAGTTAACATTAAGAGGTTTTGTCAACTTTTGATTTTGTTTTGAGTTATTTTTTAAGTATTTTTTTTTTGTTTTACTTTGCCCGTGGTTATAGGTGAGTGGTCTCTATTTTTGGTTTGTTATTTTACAGAAAAACGTTTTTCTGTTTTTATTTAATAGTGTATGTATATTTTTTTTATTATAAAAAGAAATAAATAAACTCAGAAATGTCAATCACCTGCTATTGACTGTTGACTGGTTAAATGTTGACTGTGAGACAATGCTCAAGGCATTAAGTCCACCTGTACACACTTGTTGTATTACGTTTAAATTCATTTTCTAGGAGGTAATTTGGCTATCGATTCTGTGCCTGAATCAATAAAAAAAAATTGTAGGTAAATAATTTTCATTTTTCTGAAATTACGGAAATCCGTTAGTACAAAGTACACGCCGCCGTCTTGTAACTAGCTTTATAACGCGGTTTAACACACACAAACTCAAACACGTAATTGATATTATTCCTAATTCCATAAAACTCCAATAAAAAACATTGTTGTCGCTTATTCTGAAATACTGCCGAACTTAAACGATTTATTAAAGCTGCATTTTTAACTATTGGCCCGAAATTTTCTCATATATTGAACCTTTATGACTTCTGTGACATGCCCCCGAGAAATGACACGGTTTCAAAACTACACCTTGTATAAATAAAAATATCCGACATACTAAAATAAAAAAAATACATTAATTGTTTAACACTTTAATTGACAAGTTTAAAATGGTGAAAGTTAAACTTCCATAATAATCAGGCACCAGACACTGACGGAGCGCTCTAAGGCTTAAATAAAAACAAATATTCAATGTGATTATTGTTATTCAGACACAACTAACCTAAAATACGAATGAATGGAATAAAGGTAAAATCAAAGCGACACACACGTCAAAGTATCCGTATATGCTACATCTCAGCAACAGGTCTCTAACAAACTAATTCAAACATTGAAATAATGAATATACCCACGTCCTCAAGACGACGTATAAACCACACATCAAGTTACACGAAACCAGTTTATCATGGACCCGCATTTTATGTTATGTCCGTACATTGGACGGCCAATGTATACTGGTTTTTTCTAACTTGAGACATACGTACATAAGTAAAGACAACAAAACAACATTGATAGGCGCCATTGTTCCTACACAGTGACAGTTGTGTACGAGTCATAACACAGGGTGTTTAATCAAGGAAGAGTTTCATGATTGACTGCTTTTATCACGTGGAGACGAAGCCTTATTGAATTTTCTTGTTAATGAAATGAATTTTAGTAAGTAATAATAAAATGTTTTACTTTTATCCTCGAAGGGGTAGGCAGAGGTGCACATTATACCACTGTACAATGTAACACCCACTTTTCACTATTTATGTTATGAGTCTCATGTAATAGGGGGTGAGCCTCTTGCCATATACCGGGCAAAGTTCCAGACTCCGTGCTACTACTCAGAATTTTTAAAAAACCCAGTCTTCAACTTTGCCTGACCCGGGAATCGAACCCGAGACCCCTTGCCCGGAAGTCGAAATTGCGACCACTCGGCCAACGAGGAAGTCGAAATGGTTTATGACAAAAATTTAGAAATCAATATGTACTTCCTACTGCACAACATTTATTTACTTAGTGTTAATTGTCAATGATAATAAAGTAACGATGAATCATCTAAAATCCGAAACATTCAAATGACTGAATATAAACCTTCTCTACTTAAGAGACTTACCCGTAATTTCCACTACACGCAATCGTATGCTAGCAAAAAAGCAATCCAATAAAACATTCTCCATGGGATCAAAACCGAAAACTCATACAAAACTGCAAACCAATTTTCACAAAACAACAACCTTTAATACAAATCAATTATCCGATATTTCCCGATGAACAATTTTACGATATTTACCAAGTTAATAAAGATGATGGGGGAAGATTGAAAAGATAATGTTGTTGAGATGCAACAGGCCTCTCAAGCACTGCGGGGTGCCCAAGGGACAATCCCATAACTAACAAGCAACGTAGGGGTTATATGTGACCCCATAAGGTATTATTAGAACGAATAATACGGCCTTTTCCTTATAAAATTATAATAGTTATGGCTTAGGAAACACGGTTTATTTTCGTAACAAAAGCTTGCTGTTGCCAGCCATTGTGAGTAAAAATAGAAAGTGTGAAAAAATGCTGTTATTCGCAAACAAAGAGTATGTTGGGTGTAAAAATGTCCATGATATGTTATAATGATTTTAAGTTTGATAAAGTAAAATTTAGCTGACGTGGTGGCCGGGGTTTAAGACGCCCGCTTCTCATGCATGAGGGTACGGGTTCGAAACCTACCAACGGCAAGTACCAATGTGACTTTTTCCGATTTATATGTACTTTCTAAGATTATTCGGACACCACTGACAAACGGTAAAGGAAAACATCGCGAGGAAACATGGGTTTATAATTTATTATTATAAGTTTATAATCGCCAACCCGTATTGGGCAAGCGTTGTGATTAATGCTCAAACCTTCTCCGTGTGAGAAGAGGCTTTGCTCAGCAGTGGGCATTTATAGGTTGTTGATGATGATGATGAGAGTAAAATTTCGGTATTTTAGTAAAAATAATATTATATTAAAAGACCTAGGAAATCTTAGGAAACTGAGACGTGTCAATATATACCTACTTAATACAATATACACCTATTTAGAACTACCTAAAGTAAAAATATTGAGGTTTTTTTCCCAGTATTGGTCCTGTAAGATTTTCTAGTAGCTATCGAATTAGGACCAAGTTTCTGACATCAAACCTTTACCTAATTGCCTATCCTTCTAGTAATTCTTAAGTAAATGTTGATTTAAAAAAGTCAGCACTTAAAATAATTAATTAGGAATAGATTAAAAAAACGAATAGATTATTTCCAACAATATTTGGATTATGAAATATGAATATGATTTTGTCTGTTTGTCTGTTACGGTGTCATATCTAAACTATTTGTATTGTAACTTTCGTGAGACATAATAAATAAATTAGTATGAGTAAAACTAGTCGAGTTCCTCGTCAAATGATTACGTGAGTAAGCCGAAAACATAATAATTTATCTAAACTATTGTTCAGATTTTAATGTTGGCATGGACATACAAAGATGAAGTATATGGTACATAAGGTTTAAATTGGCATAATTTTCAATGATTTAAAATGGAATGATTGTCGCTTGCAAGTATTAGAATTAGTGTGATTAAAACCGGGAACGAAATGTAATATTGTGTACGAATACTTCTATAAATATAATTACATAATTTAAGAATTGTAACTTGAGGAAAAGTAAGAAAATTGGTTTTTCATAAACACCGTAGTCACACAAAATTCTGAATTACAGGCACGGGGCAAAATTAATTATTTCTACATTACAAATATTTGCTCCGATCAAATTATAATTTATAGTAAGACTCAAAGTTCAAAGCCTCAACGAAAATATAATGTAATACTGCTTTCAAATACTAATTTCGCCTGTACATTGGCGTTAAAGTTATAAAACTATAAAAGTCAAAACACAATTAAGGTACAGCGAACTTTGGTCCTTCGGGACATCTTTGTAAAGTAGTTGAGGCGTTAGGCGTGCAGTGGCACGTAGTATCCATTTGTTGACATACGAACTCTTTACAGTACAAAACACGTACGGACGTAAATTGGATCAGATTAGGTATAAAGTAATGAAGCTTTGTAGTCACTGCAGATGTTTGTATAGCTAGGACATTTACGTGTAGAAACTAATGCATTTGTGTTTATTTTTCTGTTTATACGGAGACCTAATGCATTTGAGTGGTTTTTAAATAGTGGGTTGATGCCACCATTAGTGCAGTGTCAAATGAAGGACAGTTGTGTTTAGACTCTGTTTTGTCCATTATTAGACATACTTAATTTTTTTTATGGGATAGCGACTAAGGAGCTGACGGGTCACCTGATGGCAAGCGACGAGTGTTGTACATGGACAACTGAAGAACAGAGTTTTAAAAAGTAAAATGCTTTGTTCATTATGATTTAAACGTCAATTTTATCCAATAGTAAATGTTAATGTCATTAACATCTTACTATCGAGACGTCTCTCAAACACCATAGCTATTATTAATAGTCTAAACTTGTGTGACTACGACTCAGGAAAGGAACTTATACCATCTCATATTGTGCAGTCGAGCTTACAACCTTACAAGACAGGATAAAATATAAGATTATGAGGTAACATCAAAAGTAAATGCCAAATGGGACCTTCAGGTAGAGAACATAAGCCCATCCTACACATACCAACGTGTTGTTTAAGTAACTGGAATATTTTATCTAATGTCGAAGTAGATATTTTATGTTGTCGTAAAGTCTTTGAAGACATGCGCAGTTACTTTGAAACAACCTTAAAATACTTTACATGGACAGGCTCTTTTATTTATAAGATGACCTTGAGAATATTTTCTAATATAATGTTTCTTAGGTTTATTTTAGATAAAAGGTCGGATGATACATTGTCGGATTTCAAGTCCTCGCGGATACCTACATTCTATTCTGATACGATGTTATTTTATATCTAACTTTTTCCTGGAAAGGATAATACATGTATTACATACACAATTCTATCGTCACACTATCGGTCCTAATTCACATGAAGATAGTGTAGTGTCCTTTTGTCGGAGTATACTCAAGAGGTTGTCTACATACGAACATACAACACGTAATTGGACTTTTCTAGTAATAATGTTAGTAGAAATAGGATCAAGAAGTCCTCCAGACGTTCCAGAGCATAGCGAAAATCGGTTTATTAGGGATTTACGTTAAGATTAGTTTATGAAGTCATCTCAATGATAGATTTTTCTTGAATTCTGTTGAAGATTTCTCTCGATATTTATTTATTTATTTCTTCTTCACAAAACACAACAGTGAATGGCGGACTATTAAGTCCGCCATTCACTGTTGTGTTTAATTAAGGCACACCACAAGGTAATTGAGGTAACTAAATGTTAGTGTGAAGTTTTAAGTTCTGCAGTAATTTACACTAACAAGTCATTAAAAGTCTAAACTCTAATTGGATGCATTCACAAGTAGGTATCGATATCGATTCCCATCCTTTGTTTATAAAAGTCGACATCAATTGCAATGTAGTTTCTCGTTACCTACAATCAGGCGATCTTTATTCGTTCTTATTGGACAATAATGGAACCGAGGAAATCTTTAAATCTGTTCTGGCGTCGTTTGTAATACAATTTACGGTCAATGTTTTATGTGATACCTACCAAGGTGAGGCACCTGTATTTTACCTAAGCTTATATCGCTTTTACATTAGCTAAAAATTTGCTATTGTAGTATAGTGTACCTTATACCCTTTAATATAAGATACAAGATTCAATGGTGAATGATTGTAGAACAAAATATTAACATGTATTTTCTTTTTTTAACATGACTGGCCGTTTTGCAACGTGAACATTCTAATACCAAAATTATTTCTTTTAATTTTAAGAACAGTCAACTCGAAATAACTTTAAACAATGACCTAATAAATTGCAATCGAAAAAACAAATGAAAATTCCATAGAAAAGTGACTGAAAACCGCAACTTTACAGTCTTCGTTAAAGTTAATTAAAATTCACACGAACCTTGCATACTGAATTCAATTTCAAAGAAACTTTAACTGTTTCGATTATAACTATATACATACATACTATAAAACAAATTTTATTAGATACTAAATATTACTAACACGTCATATTCTGATTAATTATTCTTGTACTATCAAAGTACTGAAAGTAACTCTTTCAGTGCAAAATGACTAAACGAATTTAGCATATAGATAACTTGATTTAACGGTTAAAAATTTGAACTCCGGTAAAAATGACGAGTACATTAATTTAGAATGAAATTAAAAACCTTTACCCACAATACTTTATGGTATATATGATGTTCTTTACAGTAAAATGACTGACCAAAATGTTTAGCATATAGATAATCGGATAAAGGTAAAGTTGAGATTAGATTCAAAGAGAAAAGGGTACTCACACTATGAGCAACATCCATAGGAGCTAGCAGAGGCAATTCCTGTCGCCGTGGCTTCCTCCACATCAAGATCACGACAGCAACCAGCAGGACAGTTCCAGCTCCAATTACAGCTCCAACGGCTGCACTCCACATGTTCCCATGGACCTCCCATGACGTCACACCAACTCTAGCCTCAGACATGGCTTCTACGACCTTTGTAGTAGATTCTTTTTCAGTATTTTTGTAAATGTAGTCTGATGGTGTTTCATACTCGTAGCCGGCCCACTGGTTATCTGTTGATAACAAAATTAGCTGCGTACAATAGTGATACATCGATCCGTTGTGTGCTTTGTATGTATTACTACGTGTTATGTAGCTTTGAATAACTATATTAAGTAAGTAGGTATGTTTTGTTAGGTGTAAAACGTTTAAGAGAGCGTTTTAGTACATAAATATTATCCTTATATGCGAAACAAAGTAAAAAATGTTAATTGAAAAGTGGAACACGATCATGTTGATGGAAATAAGTAATCATTGAAGATTATCAATTCTCTTTTCTATAAGAACTAGCCTTTGTATTTTTTTTTTAAGGGGGGAAAATCATCGAATGACTGCTCCCGCCTGGGTGAGGCGGAAGGGAGTGTCAGACTCTTACTGACTAAAAACCACCCCGTTCCTTCTCCTGCACGTCGAGCCGGAGCCCCGGTTACCCGTTAGGTGCCTTTGTATAGTACCTATATAAGTAGCTATTGCACCTTTTTCTATACGAATTAGGCTGTATACACATCACTGTATAAGCTACAAGTATATACTTAATATTATTAAAAGAGCAAACAATGCGGACGTGTCAATTGCCACGCGTCTACTCTCATGTTATATTCAGATTTATTTGCTCAGCAAACGTGATGGCTAAATTCTTAGTACAGAATATGAAATAGGCAATGTCCATAACACAATAATAAAAGTAATCTGGGATTAAAATGAGTCGTGAATAACTTGTAGAGTTTCTAATATTGTTACTAGTATTCTTTTAACTTTATTCGAATTTGAAAGTTAAAACGCATTTGTAATTATTACGTAAAAAAAGTAGAAAATAGTTTCATAAAAGCGAACGTATGACATTTTCAAAGCGAATGATCCCATTACATTATGAAGATAGCGAACTAACATCACGCGTCACTCGTAAATCCATTCACGCACAACACCATAAAATATTTTGACACGAATAGAACCGCGTGCACTTTTAATTATAAACATAATTATTTTTTTATTTAAAACTTTCAACAACAAACGACACTACTGATTAAAAAAATCAAATTTCATTCGAAACAAAAATAACATAAAGAAAAAAATAATAATAATAAGTATTTGAATTTAGAACACGTCAATAATAACAAAAAGTTTTTAGTTTTTTTTTTAACTAAACAGGTGACTCACCCATAAGGTTGAGTTGAACAATTTGTTGTTATCTGTTGCAAGTTTAGACAGACACGTGCGTTGGGCGGGCGGGCGCGCGCGACTGGTTGGCGGCGGCTCTCTTCTTATCATTAAACCGACTTGTTTACCCCGACGGCAAGCCGTGATCTGTGTCGCGATGTTGACTTTATTGCGTCGAAGTAATAGTACTATGTTTTACTGTTCATAATAATCACACGTTTCCATAAAGGCGAGATAAATAAAAAAAATAATAATTTCAAAAGTCGATCGAACGCTTTTCAAATTAATAGGTATTTTTTAAATGAATAAATGAATATTCTTTATTTAAATGTGATCGATGATTATGATTAAAAATAGACAACAGCACACGAAGCTATCCTACTGTCTTTAAACTGTCAAACACCAAGCGGTCACCGGTGAGTGCAACCTATTGTTCTTTAATTGTGTCTATAAATACGGTACTCGACGAGTTAAAGGACTTTCACTCCTATTGCTAAAGAAAAAGGGTTGAATATTGTAAATTTTAATTTTCATACCTTGAGGACCAAAAACCTTAAGTAGGTACGCAGATACATTTTCGTTCAACACACGTACATTCTTATAAAGCAGGTTGTAACAAACTAAGTTACCGTTGTGTTCGTAAAGTAAGTTGTCAGAAGTTATCATGCTGTAATAAGCAAGTAAAAGTATTTAGGACATGTTTTACGTTTGGTACAATTTCGACGTCATGGTGCTTTCATAGGCAATCTCGTTAGTTTATTATGAGCTCGCTTTTTGACAGCATTTTTATAGTGATGACAGATTTAACTGCCTCGTTGTCCGAGTGGTCGTAAGTGCGACTGCTGGGCAAGGGGTCTCAGGTTCGATTCCCGGGTCGGGCAAAGTATTACTGGGTTTTTAAATATTTTCAGTAGTAGCACGGAATCTGGAATTGTGCCCGGTATATGGCAATAGTCTCACCCCCTATTACATGGAACTCATAACATAAATAGTGAAAAGTGGGTGTTACATTGTACAGTGGTATAATGTGCACCTCTGCCTACCCCTTCGGGGATAAAAGGCGTGATGTTATGTTATGTTATGTTATGACAGATTTAAGACTGTAACATTGCCCTTTTAGTAAGTAGGTACCTATAGTTACTTTGTTGACCTGGGAATAGGATTCTAATACACATTGAAATGAGAAGGAAATAATAACTTGAGTACGAATAAACAGTCAATGGTTACATTACTAAACAATGACACATACATCAATGAATTGATTAATGAAATATGAAAATCTTTCTTCCATTTCTAGAATATCTAGATTTTAGTGAGTTACGACACCATAAGGTCAAACTAGGTAGGTATTCTAAATTGTTCTGGATTGATTTCGAACGGAACTTAGGGAAGAAGACTTTCCAGCAGCTGTAGCCAAATGCCATTTAGCGCTTGTCTACTTGTAGAATAGATAACTAAATTATATGGAATTGACGTAAATTTTGACACTTGTCAGTGTCATCCCCATACATTTTGATATCTACTCTCTCTGTAGACAAGCGCTAAATGGCATTTGGCTACAGCTGCAGGTGTAGGTGTGACGTCACTGTAGAAATCGATTGATTTTGCAAAATAATGCACTCACGAAACATAAGAAACTCCTTGTAAGAGGCCGCGTGTGTTTTTTTAAAAGGATTTTTTGTAACAAAGCTGAAAGTCTACTAGAAATACAGTTTAGGACAGTTCAAATGCCACATAAGACTTACGTCCAATTTCTATAACCTATCTATCTGTAGATTTGTTTACTAGAGATAGAATTTTGACACATTTTGTATGGAGCTCATGTCAAAATTCTATCTCTAGTAAGCAAATCTACACATAGATAGGTTATAGAAACTGGACGTTAATGGGTTGCATTGAAGGGGCGATAGCTCAGTGCGCTGACTCGAAGGGCAAGAGTGGGAACAGCTTAGTTTTTAGTCAGACTCTGATTCTCCTTCTCGCCTCGCCTCGACGGAGAAGGAACGGGGTGGTTTTTAGTCAGTAAGAGTGTGACACACAAACACACTGTGAGCAGTCATTCGATGATGTTCCCCCCTTAAAAAAAATAGGCGTGTGAAGTAATTTGATGACATTTCCCCCTTAAAATTGATCTCAAAATTCTAATGCTGTTCTCTACACGCAGTAGATACTAAATTATACCGAAAGAGCATTAATAATCCTCGATTTAACACGATAACTTTAATAACAAATCCTGCAGCACTGCATTTAACAGCAACCCGAGGTGAACCATTAATATAGCTGACATTGTTAAGTTATGAGCTCAATAAACTTAGCACTTATTTACTTTATAACTTGGCTATACCTCGGGATAAACGGGATTTAATACATTTACGAGTGGGTGCGTAGATATATTAATTTTTAAATGTATTTACAAAGTTTTTTCATATTAGGTAGGTGCCTACAGACAAGCGACCTAACCTAACATACAATATACATATTGTTATTTTTTTGTAAATGTTGCCTCACACTAGGATTTTCTCCAGTGTCGTGGATGCGTTTACAAACATACAAGTTCACATACACAATGTCACCTAGATTCAAAACAACAATTTGTGGATTACACAAAGAGTTGTTTCGTGTGGGAATCGAAGCCACTACACGTTTGCATGGCAGTCGGTTGCCCAGCCCCCGCGCCAACCGTGCAGTCATCATAATGTATTGTAGTGTTGTTTTAACATCTTAGTGTATTGTTATGTAGAAATATTACCTTTTTTATGGCATAAGCCTGTAAACGAGCAGACGGATCACCTGATGGTAAGCAATCGCCGTCGCCCATAGACACCTCGAACACCAACCCGTTACGAGTGCGTTACCGAACTTTTGGGAATTGGGAATTTGGGGATTATGAAGGATTTGGAAATGGTCGCATTAAAAATGTCATGGTGGCCCGGAGGTTTAAGACGCCCGCTTTTCATGTATGAGGGTGCGGATTCGAAACCTACCAACGGCTAGTACCAATGTGACTTTTTCCAAATTATATGTACTTTCTAAGATTATTTAGACACCACTGACAAACGGTGAAGGTAAACATAGTAAGGAAACCTGGACTTATCTTAAGCTAATTTCTATGGTGATTAATGCTTAAAACCTTCTCCGTGTGAGAAGAGGCTGTGCTCAGCAGTGGGCATTTATAGACTGTTGATGATGATGATGATGAGGATTCGGGGATTCGGGATACTGGGGAGGGGGGTGATTGGGCCTCTAGTTACCTCATTCCTACCTGTGAGGCCTACAATGAATATTACAAATCGTCAAATTAAGATGATAACAGCGTCGACATGTAACCATCTCTACTCCTTGCACTCTCTGATACCCATTTGACAGCTTAAGATCGGTCTCAACCTGCTTGTGTTACTCAAGAAGCCGCAACGCCCATTTAAAAACCTGAACTTTATAAATAGCAATCTCAAAGCCAAGCGGATTCTTCGATTAAAAATCTTTCACTTTAACAAAAACTTCACTAAACCATTTGCTTGTTCTACTGGACCACGTCCAAACAAATGCAAGTCTCTTGAAGTACTCTTGTAAACGTATCCATTAGTTGAAATGGGCAACGTCTCGGCTCCATTGCACTTTATTATATTTGAAGATAAGTATGTACAATCAACACGTTTCATTCATGACCCACTTCGACGACAAATCTTTGACTTCTTCAAAATGAAAAAATAAAATAAAACCAACAATAACTAAATTAATGTTTACGCGAATATCAACTTAATTATTTTCGAAAATTTGTTAGCAAAACAGATTTATGTGGCGATAGCATGGCATAGTATAAATAAGCCGATTGTACTTCGTACCTACTCAACGGGAA